GGAGGCGGAGGAGCTATTAGGAAAGGATGCTGCGGCTAACACACTGACCATGTGACCTTGGGGGGGCCAAGTCACCCCCCCTTTGGTGCCTCAGTTTCCCCCTCTCTAAAACAGGGGGGATGATTCTGCCCCCGCGCAGCTGGCAAGCGCTAGGGACAGGGTGGCCACCCCTCAAGTGCAGGAAGGCTTGTCTCCCCGTGGGCTCTGACACTGAACAACGTGAAGCCCATGATGGCAGGCGTGCGAAACAAGCCAGGACAAGGTGCGGAATTGAATGAGAAGTTCACAGCGCTGAGCCCGGTCCCCGCCCGCCCAGCTCAGCCCCGGCCCACGCAGTCCCTCCGGGGCAGCCCCATGGGCGAATTCCTGACCCAGCGCAGCTCAAAGGAACGTTTCTCAGCAAGTCGAGGCCTCGTGGGCAATTAGCGGATTAAGGGGATCCGCTCCCACCCACTCTGAGTCACTGGCTCCCTGGCTGGTTGGCGCCTAGACCCGTCTGGCCTGCCCCCCGCGCAAGGCAGGCGGTGGGGGGGCTGGAATGTTCATACATAGGATACGTTGCGGGGGGGGCACATGCCAGGCTAGCAGGTGACCATGTGGCCTTGCCCGGTAACACATGGTGCTGTGGCTAGCTGAGGGGAGCGGGGTATGGAACCGGTTGCCTCTGGGTTGCTGGTTCAAAGCCTGGCCAAGTCCCAGGCTCACTAGCCCTGCCTGGCTGGTCACTGCCCCCTCTGCCCTGCATGGAGTGAGTTTCAGGGGGCTCAGCACAAGCCATAGCAGGACCCGTGTCCACATTACAGAGCTGACCCTAGCCAAAGCCACGGTTTAGCGCCTTAGCTCCCCTCCCCCCATGCCTGGAGGGAGTGTGGCTGGGGCGGGGGGGCAGAGGGGGCACGCAGAGCTGTGCCTGACACACCCCCTCCAATTTGCTACAGCGGGGCCTGAATTCAACTGTGCTTGGGAGGAGGTAACAACCCCACAGACAGAAGGGAAACTGAGGCATGGAGCGGGGAAGGGACTTTCCCAAGATGATACAAAGAGAACCCAGGCGTCCTGACTCCCACGCCCCTCCCAGAGCTGGGCTGGGACTAGAACCCAAGTGCCCGGACACTCGTGCTCCCCTGCTCAAAGTATGAGACCCAATGCCCAAAGCTGGGGCCAGACCCCAGGAGTCCTGCCTCTTAGACACCACACCCCTGCTCCCGCTCAAGCCCCCTCCCTCCCAAAGCCGTCACCCGAGGCCTCCACCGTGCATCTGCACCCATCCACGTCCTGCCCCTGGGTTCCTTTCCCACCAGCCCTCCCCCGGCCCACCCACCCAGGGGGGGGCCACCAGTTTAAAAAGGGGTGTTTGATCTTGTGCAAAATATTAGAGACGGCTCACTGAGGAACACCACACGCGCGCCCAGGCCTGGGCAGCAGCGGGTAGGTTGGGGGCGCTGGGGGGCTGCAGGGGTCACTCGCCAGCAGCCTGTCAGGAAGTCGTCGTCTGTCTGGGCCGCTTTGATCTGAAATGTCAGCTAGAAATAGCAGCAAAGGAAATGGAGTTATCCTGAAACCGTATCCTGGTCAGCCCCCCGCGCCCGCCCGGGCTCCAATCCCAGTCAGTCACAGCTTGCGCCTGCCGAGAGCCAACAGCCTGGGGGATGAAGGAAGTCGGGGGGAGGCTGAGTGGCTGGCGTAGGGATGAGGCCGGACGCCTGGGTTCCAGGAGGGGCAGAGGGGCTAGTGGCTGGCGCACAGGGTCTGGGAGTCAGGGCTCCGGGTGAGACGCTCTGGCCTGTGTCCACAGCAGGTCCGACTGGCTGGGCAGTATAATCCCGTTCTCACTTTCCCGGCTGTGAAACCTTCACCGGCGTCTCCCGGCACAGACAAGGCTGGAATAGCCAGTTGCGGGGGTCGGGGGTCTGGGGTGTGGCGACCTCAACAGCGCCCGCTTCCTCCCTGCATCAAAACCAGCCCCATCCCTGGTCGCACCCCCAGCCCCCTCCCTCACTTACCCCTCCTGCCCCCATGACATTTGGGGCCAGGCTGCTTTAGAGCTGCATCTGCCAGAGCAGGCCCCACGGCGAGCCGGGCAAAGCCGAGCTCTGGTTTCAAGCCGCCGGGGAAAACCCTGGCGTGGCTATCGCTCCAGCAAGTGGCCCATTGGAGCCAGCCCCAGCCAGACATCTTCAGGCCGCTCCCCACCCCCCACATCTAATCCATCTTCCCAGCCAGGGGAAGCTCAATGCCTGTTATTAGGTATATTACGGTAGCACAGAGCAGGACCCCCTCCCCAAGCAGTGCACAGACCCTGGTTGATGCGGCAGCGCGGGGGCCCCATTGTGTCCCTCCCGCACTCACACCAGCCACCGGCAGGCTCATTAGTGCCACTGTGCCGCTGGGGAAACTGAGGCACAGAGCGTGCGCGCGCCCGAGGACGTGAGGTGCACAGAGTCGCCCGCAGCCACACCCATGCGCCCCACACTCCCCTCCTCCCTCCCCAGCATTGACTCACCCGGACCCCAGGCGCCCAACCCCCCAGCACAGGGCCAGGCCCCCCCGGCCTGCATGTTCTTCGCTCGCTTTCCACCCCGTACGGGTCTGACCAGGCCCCCCCAGCCCCGGCGATTGCAGGCAGGGCGGGGCACCCCGGGGCCCGCCGCGCTGGGTCACGCAGTGGAAAGGGTGAGTCTTGTTCCCATGATGCCGCCACAGGCATCGGTCACGTGACCCTCCCGCCCCCGCGTGCCTTTTCTGGCCTGTCACCGGCTCCCTGGGTTGGCAGCGGCCTCGCGTGGGCCAGAGGGGGAAACTGAGGCAGGGAGCCGGGGTGGGAAGGGCAGCGCGAGAACCCAGGCGTCCTGGCTCCCCCGGCCCGCAGGCCGGGGAGGAGGCCGGCAGGGCTGCGTGGGCCGGCGGTGCAGGCTCCGAGAACAGCCCCGGAGCGAAACCCAGCCGCCGCCGCACGTAGCGCACGGGACTGGGCGCTGCCGGGCGCCCGCGGGCTGGTCGGCGGGCGCCCCCTAGCGGGGCACGCGGGGCAGGAGCCGCTCGGCTTTGCGAGCGGGCGGGGCCCGGGCTGAGCCGAGGGCGGCGGCCAGGGCCGGGCTCACATGAGGGTACCTAGGCCGGAGCAGAACCCGGGCGTCCTGACTCCCCCACCACAGCTGGGCTTAGAACCCAGGCGTCCTGACTCCCCCCACCCCTGATCTAACCCCTACCCCTCACAGCTGGGCATAGAACCCAGGCGACCTGACTCCCAGGCCCCCCCCTTCCCCCCCTCACAGCTGGGCATAGAACCCAGGCGACCTGACTCCCAGGCCCCCCCTTCCCCCCCCAGAGGTGGGCATAGATCCCAGGCGACCTGACTCCCAGGCCCCCCCTTCCCCCCCCAGAGGTGGGCATAGATCCCAGGCGACCTGACTCCCAGGCCCCCCCTTCCCCCCCCAGAGGTGGGCATAGATCCCAGGCGACCTGACTCCCAGGCCCCCCCTTCCCCCCCCAGAGGTGGGCATAGATCCCAGGCGACCTGACTCCCAGGCCCCCCTTCCCCCCCCAGAGGTGGGCATAGATCCCAGGCGACCTGACTCCCAGGCCCCCCTTCCCCCCCAGAGGTGGGCATAGATCCCAGGCGACCTGACTCCCAGGCCCCCCTTCCCCCCCAGAGGTGGGCATAGAACCCAGGCGACCTGACTCCCAGGCCCCCCTTCCCCCCCCAGAGGTGGGCATAGAACCCAGGCGACCTGACTCCCAGGCCCCCCTTCCCCCCCCAGAGGTGGGCATAGAACCCAAGCATCCTGACTCTCACCCCCGCCCTAACCACTACTCCCCCCTCTTTCCACAGCTGGGCATAGAACCCAGGAGTCCTGACCACCCCCTCTCCGGAAACCACTGGGCCTTGGTACCCGACCTGGCCTCGGGCTGGAGTGAGGGCTACAGAGGGACACAGCTTGGCCCTGGGGGAAGGTCAGTGCGTCTCTGACAAGCTGGTTCTATCCCCAGCTCTGCCTGGGCACGTCCCTTCCTCTTCCAGTGTTCCCGGGGGTAGGTAATTAAGTTCTTTAGCACCGCAACTGTTAGTGACCCCCCCAGCACAATGCTCCCCCCATCTCACCCTGGGACAGGGCAGTGCCCGGCTCAAGTGGCAGCAGGTGCCCCAGGTGAATGACGCATTGGTGAGAATGTGTTTTTCCTTTGATCAGTTTTGAATTTGGCCCCCCCTCCCCGTTTCCTTCACCAGCCCCACCTCGTAAGGAGGCCGGGACGCCCCGTGCCCAATGATCCCTGCAGGGGGCCCATGCCTCCTAGCAAACCGGGGAGGATCTGCACGTCCCTGGCCTCCTGCCAAGCAGCCATGTGCGTAACCAGCCCCCCTGGGCTAAGGAGCTCAGGGCCTGGCCCCCGCTGCTCCCAGCAGAGGTTGTTCCACTTTCGTCCCCCTCTGCTAGAGAAAAACCTTCTACATTTCCATCCTCCAGCGAGCCCGGCCCGGCTTGGCGATGCCCCGAACAGACTCAGCCGCCCCCACCGCTGGCACCAAGAAGAAACCAAAAAAGTCGGTTTTTTTAAATGTTAAAACTTTTACAAAAAATACAATACAATAAACAATTCAATAAATAGAAAAAAATTACAAAATTACATGTTTTTTGTTGTTGTTGTAATATAGGCAAGGAAACAAACAAACCAACAAACAAACCCACAATGACCGGTAAGTAACAAACCAGATCAGGAGGGCTCCTCCCCAGAGCTGTGCAATATAGAATAGGATCGGCTGCTCCTCCTTGGCTATTAAGGGACACGGAGTATTAAAGTCAAACAGCCCCCCCGCCCCCCAGTCACTTCAGACCCTCTCTTCATATATATTAATTTTTTTTAATTATCTCATCTTCACAATAATCGAGTCTGTAACGTGCCCGTGCGGGTCTTTCCTGAGTAGAATTTAGCCAGAGGAAAATGGAATTTTGGAGAGGGGGGAGGGCACCCCCTGGTGGACACTGAGAAGTTACCCCTCCCCCCCCCCCCCCCCCAGGGTAGAAAAAGAAACAAAAAACCCTCCTAGGAGTCTTGTTCTGGCCTGAAGCAGGGGGAGGGTTTGAGGTATGAGCTACGAACCAGGAAAGCATTCGGCCCCCTGCCCGGAGCCTTGTGCTGGGAGAGACCAGATTAGGACTCCTTCACTTGGGGGTGTCTGCAGAACCGATCGCACCCCCAGCCACACGGGCGCAATACAGGCTGGATCAGGGCCCCCCCCCCTTCTTTACTGGGATCGATTTAGCTTACCACCCCCTCAGAGCTGGGTCCTGGATTCATCTACATCTTCCTTCCCCCCGGGGTTGGAGCAGAAATAGTCGGGGGGGGGGGGTGAGAAGAGAACAGGGGACAGACAGGACCAGAGATAACAGGGGGGGTGTTGGTCCCTAAATATTCAACTGGAAAGAACTGCCCCCCCAGCTGGAAAGGAACTGAAGAACTGCAGGAAATCCACCAGGCTGGCAGGCGGGCGATTGTCCCCCTCGGCCGGGTGCCCCATGCTGGGCAAGAGGCAGCCCAAGAGCTCGGAGGTTGCAGGTGCTGGGCCCAGGGCCAGAGCCACTGGTTCCTGGAGACATTTTTGGGAGGTAGGGCGGGAACGGCCAGGCTAGAACCAAGGGCAAACGGGCCCTGCAGCTTGGTCTCCCCTGGCCTCTCCCAGCTCTGGATGACGACTGGGCCGGCTCCCTTCTTGCCACGGAGCCAGATCTGACCCGCTCAGATACCACGGGAAGGGGCACTGCAGGAAAACCCAGGTCCCCTCTGGCTTCCTGGCTCCTGCTGGGCTGGTCCATCCACCCTCAGAGACAGCGACCGGGGCCACCTCCCAAGGGGTCATTTAGCCCTTCAAAAGGCTGGGAACAGGTGGGGCTAAAGGAGCTGAGGGCCTGGCCCCTCCCCGGGGTTACAGCTTCGGCTCCTCGCACTTGCAAGACGCCAGCAGGGGAAACAAATCCGCTATTGGCGTGGCCCCTGCCCTGCTTCCCCCCACTTCACCGCTGGGGGGACTGGGCAGGTCAGGTGTGGTCTTCTGCTGTCACGGGTTCAAATTCCGGAGGGGGAATTTATGGACAAAAGTGGTGCGGACGGAGGGAGAGCTGGGGTGGAGACAGGGCTGATTTCCAAGGATTATGGATCCCCCACCTGGCTCAAAAGTGGCAGGAAACCAGCAGTGCCGCCCAGGTGCTGGCTGAAATCGCACGCGTCTCGCAGCAGCCGCCGAGCCCAGCTCCAGGGCCCCAGCCACCCCCCATTCTGTGCATCACACCCAGGCCGGCCCCCACCCCCAGCCGCTTCTGCCCAGCTCCGACCCCCCCGCTCGGCTCTCACAGATGATCCTTCAAGACAGACGGCTGGTAGCCACAGCCGTCCAGCGGTAATACTGAAATCTGCGACTCCTACAACCCCACCATGAGTCCGCCCCCCCCCAATATAAATTGAACACTGGAGAGAAACGGGGTCCTTCAAACGGGTATAGAGTCCCCCCATTGACCAGGTCCTGGCCTAGGCACCCCCGTTCAGATGGGGCCCCTGGCCAAGGGCTCCCCTGAACTGAATGATAGGGGGGCCCTATGTCAAACCAACTGTCACCCTCAGGGGGCAGCAATGTGGGGGTTCTCCAGCTGAATCCATAGACCCCCCCCACCTGAGCCACTCCTTTCCCAAGGCAGGGGGAGGATCAGCCTGTGGCCCCCCCCAAGGGGGAGGGATCAGCCTGTGGCCCCGCCCCCTAGCCAAATCGCTCCCGCACCAGGAGCATGAGTTTCTTCTTGCCCTTGTAGGTCTGTTTGAGGTTGTCGAGGAACTGGCCGAACTGCAGGTGCCCGTCGGGGGCAAGCAGGAAGGTCTCGCGGGCCTTGCACAGGAACTCGATGAACTCGCTGTAGTGGCGGGGGCTGATGTGGGTGAGGCGGGAGTGGGTGGTGCTGACGTAGGCGGCGATGGCCGCCTCCAGCAGCTGGCACAGGGGGGCTTTGTCCAGGCCGGGGGCGGCGGGGGGCTTGGCGGCGTGGCGGCGGCCCGAGAGGGCGGCCAGGCCGGGCGGGGGCAGGCTCCAGCGACGCAGGATGTCGGAGAGCATGGGGGCGCACTGCACGCTCTGGATGATGAGGGGCACGATGGCCGAGAGCTGGCTCTTGCCCAGCGAGTGGCTGAGCGAGCAGGCCCAGAGCACGTCGTTGACGGCCGGGTGCGTGTCCTGGTTGAAGGCGATGCTGAGGTGGGAGAAGGCCAGGGTGGCCAGTTTGTAGGCACGGAGGGGGAGCCCCCGGTGCTCCATGTACCGGGCCACGGTGAAGAGGTGGGAGTGGCCCATGCCGGCCGTGGCAGCCGAGTCCAGCACGATCTGGTAGGCGGCCTCGAAGGCAGCGTGGTCCTTCTCGCACAGGGTCAGGGCAGGCAGCGAGCAGTTCTGAGGGTCCTTCATGGCACACTGCAGGGCCACGGCCCGGGCCCGGGCCCACAGCTCGTCCCGCTGCCCGAAGGCCAGGTTGAGGCGCAGCAGGGTGGCCGGGGTGGTGCCCGTCACGGCCACGATGGTGGTGGCTTCGATGGGGGTGAAGAGGCTGTACCAATTCTGCATGATGTTCATCAGAGCCTGCACACCTGGGGGGGCAGGGGCGGGCTCAGTGCAGCTCACGGGTCTCCACCCGCCCGCCCCGCCTGCGAGACCCCAGGGGAGGGGTCAGCTCAGGTCACAGGCCTCAATTCCCCCACCCAGCCTGCGAACGCTGCAGCGGGCAGGGATCGTCCCCATCAAAAGAGACTGCAACTTGCCCAACTCCAGCTGGGATGAGAACCCAGGAGTCCAGGGACCCTACCCCTAGACCCCACTCCGCTGCCAGGGCTGGGAAGAGAACCCAGGAGTCCAGGGACCCTACCCCTCACCTGGTCTCACTACTAGACCCCACTTCGCTGCCAGGGCTGGGATGAGAACCCAGGAGTCCTGGCTTCCATCCATGCTGGGTTGCCGGGAACACCAGGTGCCATGTCAGAGGGGTGGGGGTCAGCTGGGCAGAGGGCCATTCGTGGGGTATCCATGCCCCCCCTCCCCCGGCTCGCCCACTCACCGATCTCGGTGGCACAGCTCACCAGCCAGCGCACCATCTCTCTCCGGCGCCAGGTCATGGTGTTCAGAGTCATCCGCATCACCTGTGGGGTGGGGGACGACACAGCTCGTGAGAGTGGCCAGGGCACGGCCCCAACAAGACAGCGCCTCCACGGCGGGGAACCCATCTACAATTGCCGTGCACTCGGATTATAGCTCTTACAGAGCCTTTCACCAGAGGGGCTGAGGGCACATGGGGTGGGGTCATGGCACAATGGGAAACTGAGGCACAACAGGGGAAGGGACTGGCCCAAGGTCTCACAGTAAAACTGTGGTAGAGCTGGGAGTAGAACCCAGGTGTCCTGACTCCTAGCCCACCCCTACTCTAACCACTAGATGCCACCCCCTTCCCACTGTGTGCTGTTAAGCAGCTGCTGCGCCCCACCCCAGAGGTGGCTGCATGTCAGTGCTGGGCAAGCGACCATAGCAACAGGGTCTGTCAAGATCTTCGCACTCCTCCAGTCAGGAAGCAGCTATCCCCCCCACCCCCCTCCGCCCCACATACCTGCAGGCCGAGCTCCAGGGAGATGTTGAGCAGCGTGGAGTCCGGCGGGGCGCTGGCCGGTGTTGCAGTCTTACAGGCATCCTGGGCCAGTTTGAACAGGAGGGCGGGGGAGTGGATGTTCTGCTGGATGGACCCCAGGACCGTGTGTAGCCACTTGGGGTCTCCTAGACCAGGGATGGGGGGCAGGGATTAGCCCCAGGGGTGGCTGGGACACCCAGGGGGAAAAGATCTGCAAGCTGCAGGGCTAGGAACGGGGAGGGGGGACGACGACTCGAGCGCCCTTGGGCCTGGCTCCCAGTGGGGCTGATGCCCACAGCTCCCAGCGATCACAGGGGCCCAGCTTCTGAGCCTCAGGAAGGGGCTACAAAGACTTCCCCCTCTAGGGGGCGCCGGCTCTGATCTGGCCCCAGGGTGGGGACTGGCTGGCTCAGGGGGGTGGGGAATGGGACACGGGGCCTGTCCCCTCTAGGGGGCACCGGCTCTGATCCGGCCCCAGGCTGAGATCTTGCATCCTTTCCCATGTGAAGGGGCTCAGGGGGCCCTGCCTGGCCCAGAGGAACAAGTGTCTATCACAGAAGCTTAGGGCTCTGTGGTCCCCTCGTCCTCCCATGGGATCAGCTTGGGGCCGTGTGAGGGACTTGACTTGGGCACTCAGTCAGTGGCAGAGGAGGGAGTAGATCCCAGGAGACCTAGTGCCCAACTCTACCCCTCTGCAGTGTAACGATTAGAGCCCACCCCCCTCCCAGAGCTGGGGACGGAACCCAGGAGTCCTGGCTCCCAGCCCCCCTCTAACCACAGGGCCCCACCCCCCTCCCAGAGCTGGGGACGGAACCCAGGAGTCCTGGCTCCCAGCCCCCCTCTAACCACAGGGCCCCACCCCCCTCCCAGAGCTGGGGACGGAACCCAGGAGTCCTGGCTCCCAGGCCCGTGCTTCAGTGTCTGGCTTCACCTTTGGCTGCGGTGAGCATGGCCGATGCCAGCTCACACTGGCGCGTCTCCAGGTGGCCCAGGATGAACCAGCGGGGGAAGCGATTGGCCATCATGGAGTCCAGCGGGTTCTGGTGCAGGATGTCCCCGGCCGGCATCACCGTCTCCAGCACGGGGAGCCTGCGGATGGGAAAAGGGGGCTGGTCAGGGCAGGTCCCAGCATCCCCAACCCCGGGCTCAGCAGGATAGCCAGCAAAAGAACCAGGAGTCCTGGCTCCCAGCCGCCGCCCCCCAGCTCTAACCACTAGACCCCACCCCCCTCCCAGAGCCAGGGAGAGAACCCAGGAGTCCCAGCCCCTCCCTGGTCCCAAAGGCGACAGGAGGGGAGATACACTGGATATCGCCCCCCCACATCCCCCATGGGAGCAGCTCGTTCCATGGCAGTTGGCGGGGGGGGGGGTAGGGGTGTGGATCGGCCCCTCCCCATGCAGCCTCACCAGGTATCCCTGTGCCCCCCCGGCACAGCTGGGTGACATGGGGGGGGGGGAAGCGGCTAGGGGTACCCAGGCTGCGCGGCAGGGTGGGGGGGTGAGGTAGCCGGGGCCGGTGGGTGGGCACATACCTCATGGCTCTCAGGGCCAGGCGATAGGCCAGGTCGGCGTCGTGGGGCAGCAGGGCGGCGAAGAGGTAGCGAGCGAAGGTGTGCATGGGCACGCTCTCCCGGAACACCACCTCCCCGAAGCCGCTGAACGGGCCGCCTGGCAGGGAACAGACGCCAGGGTGAGGGGCTGGCCGGGCCGGGCACCCTCCCCCCGCCCCACCGGAACCCCAGAGCCCAGCTGGGCCCCCCACCCCGGAGCAGAGAGGGAAGCCCGCCCGGGGGGACGCAGCCCGGTACCTGCCAGGAGCAGCGTGGCCTGCTTGCGCAGAACCTGCACCAGCCTCTCGTCCAGCTCCATCTCGTCCAGCAGGGCGACGAGCTGCTCCTCGCGCCGCACCACCTTGTCCTGGGCGTGGAGCCCCTCGGGCAGGGCCCGCTGCTGCCCCAGCCCCGCCACCGCCACCTCCAGTGCCAGCGTCAGGTACGACGTGCCCGAGCCGGGGCTGCAGGGGATGGGCACATGCTGGTACAGCACCTTCTTCTTCCCCTCCGCCGCCACGTCTGCCAAGGGGGGGGGGGGGGCGTCAGCCACGGCCGGCGTGCCCCCCTCCCCCGTGCGGGAGGAGACGGGGGAGCCCTGGACTGAGCCGGAAGTACAGACACCGATGCCGACCCCCCCCCCCCCCAGTCTGTTCCAGCACTGACCCCTCCCCACCGGTCCCCATTGCCGAAGGAGGAGGGGGGGTCCACGGGATCTCTGCTTGCGACCCACCCCCCGGCCACAGAGCATGGTACATCCCCCCCCCGTACCTGGACAGAGCGACAGCCCCTCGTGGTCCGTGCGGCAGGGCTCCAGGAGGGTCCGACACAGGCAGCCGATGGGGTCCAGGGGGTGGCCCACCCAGCCCTCCAGGTTGGTGATGGACGTGCTGCCCTTCTGCAATATCTCTGCGGGGGGGTCGGGAGGGCCCGTGAGACACTGGCTCTCCCCGCCCCCCCACCCCGCCAGCTGAGACTGGCCACGCTCGCTGCACGGGGGCCCCTCCCGGCCCGGAGCCCCCTGCTCCTCCACACCTGAGTCAGGGAGCCCCCCGGCTGGCGCTGGCAGGTCCACCTCCCACTTCCGTGAGCAGAGCGAGCAACCCAGGCGTCCTGGCTTCCAGCTGGCTCCACCCACTAGACCGTCCCCTCCCCCGCCCCCCTCCCCCCAGGACTGGGAATAGAACCCAGGCATCCTGCCCCCCAGGACTCCCCCCCACCTTTCTTCTGCTGCTCGTAGCTCTCCAGCTGGTGGCGCCGTTGGAGGCGCATGGTGGTGCCGAGGGCGGTGGCCAGGCGCAGGGCCTCTCGGGGGTAGCCGTGGGAGCGCAGGGCGTCCACGCGGGCGCAGGCTGTGGGGAAGGGGTCGCCCAGCCAGAGCGGGCGGCCCTGGGGGTCGAAGCAGAGCTTGTCGCCTCCCGTCTTCATGCCCAGGCCGTAGCCCTCGCTGCTGAGGATCTTCTGCAGGTGGCAGTCGCCCCAGCGCAGCTCCCCGGCCTTGATGGCGCGGCCGAAGACGGTCTGGCGGGCGGCCGCTGCCGGGGAAAAGCCGGACTCAGGGCAGGGCAGCAAGACCCAGGGCCTGGCCCCTCTGGGGGGCACCAGCTCCCATCCAGCCCCAGGGCAGGGGCCTGGCTGGCTGGCGAGGCGGGGGAATGCAGCTCAGGGCCTTTCCCCTGTAGGGAGCGCCAAGATCTGAGCCATGGGGAGCAAACACTCCCCACGCTGCCTTGGGGTCCAGGGAATGGGGAACTGCTCCCAGCTCCATCCATCCCTGCCCAAGGGTCCCTCCAGCCTATCCCCTGTCTCTGCTCTGAGTTCCCACTCCTGTCCCCTCCCTGGGGCCCCCATTCTGTCCCCCCCCCCCAGTACCTGCACTGGGGACCGAGGGGGGCTGCAGGGCCACGGTGGCTCCAGGCACATCGAAGGAATAGTTGCCCTCCTCCAAGGGGCAGACATCCAGCTTGTTCCACTTCTTCAGCAGTGCCAGCCACAGGGCACGCTCCTCCGGCTTGCAATGGGGGTTCAGGACCACACATACCCACAGGGCCCCTGCAGCAGGGAGAACAGGGTGATGCAGGCGCCAGCAAACCAAAAGTTCACCCAGGCTGCAGGGGCCGTGGGTCGGGAGTGAGGGGCACCGGCAGAGGTGGGGGGCCCAGGGCTGGGACAGCAGGGGGCTGCGGGTCGGGAGCGAGGGGCACCGGCAGAGGTGGGGGGGCCCAGGGCTGGGACAGCAGGGGGCTGCGGGTCGGGAGCGAGGGGCACCGGCAGAGGTGGGGGGGCCCAGGGCTGGGACAGCGGGGGCTGCGGGTCGGGAGCGAGGGGCACCGGCAGAGGTGGGGGGCCCAGGGCTGGGACAGCGGGGGCTGCGGGTCGGGAGCGAGGGGCACCGGCAGATTAGCCTGGGAGGTGCTAGTCTAAGAGGCTCCCTCCATTACCCAGCTCGTCCCACAGCTGCCGGCACTTGTCCGTCATGCCGGCTCCCTGCTGCCTCCACAGGGCCAGGCGCGGGTCCTCCAGGAACTGCTCCGTCATCAGGATCAGCATGCGGGCGCCGTTGGAGTCCCGCATCCGCAGCATCTCACGCACCTGGGGGGGGGGGGGGAGGGTGCGACTCAGGGGGGCTGGCGACCGCTGCAGCCCAAGGCAGTTGGTGGGGGGAGCCCAGGAGGCCTCCAGCCCAGGGTTGCTCCCCCCCATCCCCCCCAGCTCCAGCAGAGACCCCCGCACTGCAGGGCAAAAGGGGGCAGGCAGCAACACGCCCCCCCCCGCACAGGAAGAGGGGTCTGAGCCAGCTCCAGCAAGGGGCTGAGGTGGGACAGGGCACGGGGGCAGGAGTGATCAGCAGGGACCCCTGTTCTGGGGGAAGCCATGGGGGGGGACAGGACCCCCAACGTGGAGGGGGGAGGGAGGGGACACAGGCCAGGCCAGGGGGCAGGGCGGTTGTGGCCCTGCTGAGGCTGGGGAGCCCTTGGCGGGGGCAGGAGTTACCTTGTTGAACATGGACTGCAGCTGCTTGCTGGCCCCGTAGTAGCCGCCGTTGGACAGGAGCTGCCTGACCTGCTCCTGGATCTGCTCCTCGTCCAGGTGCCAGCAATTGGCGTCCTCGATGCCGGCGCCAGCCGTGGGGTCTGGGGCGCCTGGCGGGGGGGAACGGGGGTAGGGGGGGGACAGAGTCAGCAGGGCAGAACCCCACCCCCGCCCCCGGGACTCCACCTCCCTTCTTGGGCAATGGGGTGGGGGAGGGAGTGACAGAGGCCCCTGCTCTGCTCCCAATCAGGAGGCAGATCCCAGATTCCACAGCCACCCACGGGTCCCCCCATTCCGTAGCCAATGGGAGGCGGATCCCAGGGCTGAGAGCGACCCCCCCCACGGGTCCCCCCACTCCGTAGCCAATGGGAGGCGGATCCCAGGGCCGAGAGCGACCCCCCCCCCCCCACGGGTCCCCCCACTCCGTAGCCAATGGGAGGCGGATCCCAGGGCCGAGAGCGACCCCCCCCCACGGGTCCCCCCACTCCGTAGCCAATGGGAGACGGATCCCAGGGCCGAGAGCGACCCCCCCCACGGGTCCCCCCACTCCGTAGCCAATGGGAGGCGGATCCCAGGGCCGAGAGCGACCCCCCCCCACGGGTCCCCCCACTCCGTAGCCAATGGGAGGCGGATCCCAGGGCCGAGAGCGACCCCCCCACGGGTCCCCCCACTCCGTAGCCAATGGGAGGCGGATCCCAGGGCCGAGAGCGACCCCCCCCCACGGGTCCCCCCACTCCGTAGCCAATGGGAGACGGATCCCAGGGCCGAGAGCGACCCTCCCCCCACGGGTCCCCCCACTCCGTAGCCAATGGGCGGCGGATCCCAGGGCCGAGAGCGACCCCCCCCCACGGGTCCCCCCACTCCGTAGCCAATGGGAGGCGGATCCCAGGGCCGAGAGCGAGACCCCCCCCCACGGGTCCCCCCACTCCGTAGCCAATGGGCGGCGGATCCCAGGGCCGAGAGCGACCCCCCCCCACGGGTCCCCCCACTCCGTAGCCAATGGGCGGCACCCCCCCGTACCGTGCACGCGGTTGATCTCGGAGCCCAGCAGGAGGATCTCGTCGGCCAGCCGCTGGGCGGTGGGCAGCACCTCGGTGTGGTGGGCGCTGATCAGGTACTGCACGAACTTCTGCAGCTGGTCGCGGTTCATCTGGGAGAGGGTCTCGGAGATGGGCAGACGCAGTTCCACCTGCCGGGCGTTGCGGATGCGGCAGAGAGAAAGCGCCACCACGTGGGCGCAGTAGAAGATGTCCCGGCTGCCGCAGGCGCAGCTCACCGACGTGATCTTGCACCGGTCAAAGCTGATGGAGACGTGGAAGCTCCGCTCCGGCTCGCTGGGGCCGGCCGGCTCCGTGACATTCCCACTCAGGTGGAAGCCTGGGGATGGGAAGGGACAGGGTTGCTGCGGGGAGGGGGAGGCGGCCCCCCTGCCCCAGCCACTAGTCCCCGCTCCCCTCTGAGAGCTGGGGTAGAGCCCAGGAGTCCTGGCTCCCAGCCCCCTGCTCTAACCACTAGACCCCTCCTGCCCATTGCCTATGGAGCCTGGGAGCTCTCTGGGGGAGGGACCATCTCTCCCCGTGGGTCTGGGCAGCACCCGGCGCAATGGGGCCCCTGATCTCAGTCAGAGCCTGCACAGGACCTGGCCCAACAGGGGGCCCTGATCCTGGGCGGTGGAGCAGGCGTGGGGAATCTGTGCAGCGCTTGGCCCAACAGAGACCTCAGTGGAGACTGGGGCCTTCAGGTGCTGTCAGAGTCCAGATCCCGCTGCCAGGGAGTTGGCCCCAGGCTTCCCCCTCAGCTTCTCGGTCACAGAATCACCAGGTCAGTCGGGAAGGTGCCTCGCGAGGTCACCACCTCCAGCCCCCTGCGCCGAGGCAGGGCCAAGAAAACCTCGACCACCTCTTAAACACTCCAGTGTCCGGGATCCTACAGCCCACCGCGGACACCCAGACCGGAGCTGCCCTGCCCCGAGAGTTAGACGGTTCCCCTAATATCCAGCCGAAATCTGCCCTGCTGCAGAGGAAGCCCAGGGCTTCTTGTCCTGCCTCCAGCAGCCACGAAGAACAATCCATCCCTGTCCTCTGGCTGACCAAGTTTCCAGCCTGCAGGAGGCCAGGAGCGCCAGGGCACATGACAAATCCACACCGGCAATTCCCCCGTGCCCGACGTTATCCCCTATCCTCGCAGACCAACACTCGCCTCCAGACTCTCCCCGACTTCCCCGCGTCTTCCCTCCACCGCGGCCCCCGGAGCCGGCCGAGGCCTCCCCAGCACCGAGCGGAGCCCAGCACCGACCTCCCAGGCCTGACACCCCCCGCCTGCCTCTGCACCTCACTTCTGTGTGACCGCATCCCATTGTCAGCCCATGTTCAATTTGTGACCCATGGTCACCCCAGGCCCCTTTCGGCAGCATTGCGGCCAAGCCACTTATTCCCCCTTCAGAGCCATCCCTTGAGTTCGGCGAAGTGGGACGACTGCCCTGGGCCCCATGCTCTGGGGGGCCCTGGGCTTCTATAAAACCGTGAGGAGGCGGGCGGGAAGGTGAGGCGAGCGGCAGATGGGCGGGGGGGGCAAAGAGGAGCCCCCCTACCAGATCCTCCCCCACCAACAGGCCCTGCCCAGCGCCTCCCACAGATCAGCTGTTTCTTGCCGCAGGGAGGGGACAGGAGTGAGGGCTCAGAGCACTTGGGGGAAGAGCCGGGGCAGGGGCAGGGCCTTGGGGGGAAGGGGTTGATTGGGGGCGGGGCCCAGGCAGAGCCTGGGGGAGGCGCAGGGAGCAACCCCTGGCAGATTAGAAACAGTGCGCCTACGTCCCAGGCCCCGCACACCCCTAGTGATGGCCCGGTCCCCGGCCTGTAGCTGGGCCTTTGCGTTTCCCTTCCTCAGCGCGGGAGTTTGCGCTTCTCTTGCAGATTTCAGACCAATTCTCTGATCTGTCGCGGTTGTCCTGAATTCTAATCCTGCCTCCAAAGCGGGGCCAGCCCCTTGCAGCTCGGAGCCATCTGCATCCCCTCCATCATCCGAGTCATTAACGAACGGTGCCAGACCCAGGGCTCAGCCCTGCAGGACCCCACCGGATCTGTCCTCCGCGTTGGAGGGCAAACCCGGGTAACTATTCAGAGTACAGTCATTCAAGCACCCACCTTATCGTAATTCCATCTAGACCCCGCACCCCTAGTCCGCTCATGAGAGCGCCATGTGGGACTGCATCAAAAGCCTGCCTAAAATCAAGCTACATCACGTCTACTGCCCACGGCCCCCAGGCCAGGAACGCGGTCAAACGAGGACATTGGGTTGGCTTGGTACGGTCTGTCCAGTACCAGGCTCAGGCTGACTGGTCTATAGCTCCCAGGCCTCTTCCTTCCCCTTCTTAAGAACACGGTTGCCCAGCTCTGGTCCTCTGGGCCCTCCCCCGTCCCCCAGGAGTTCTCCAAGACGATTGCGGATGGGTCTGAGCTTGCTGTGGCCAGCTCCATCAGTACCTAGGGCGAGTTCGCCGGGCCTGCCGCCATGCATGCAGCTAACTCATCTCCGTCTCCTAGCACCGGTTCTTCCCCCTTCCTGTTAGTGTCACCGGTGCCGAGGACCCGGTCGCCATTAACCGCTGAGGTGACGACTGAAGCAAATCAGGCATTAAACACCTCAGCCCTAGTGAGGTCGTCAGTTATGAGCTCTGCGGCCCCGCTGAGTAGTGGCCCGGCTCTTCCCTTCCCCTTTCTCTTGCTCCTGTCACATTTAAGGAATTGCTTGGTATTGCGGCTTGTGTCCCCCGCCAGGGGCAACTCGTTTTGTGCCTTAGCCATTCTCCGTTTGTCCCCACTGGCCTGGGCTGTTCTTTTGTGCTCCTCCGTAGTACTGGTTTCCACTTTTGGCAGGAGCCCTTTCGGAGTTTCAAGGCATTAAAAGCCCTCTTCCCCCCCGCCCCCGGGTCACCTGCAGCCCCTCCCCCCGGCCAGAAGGAGCAGGCGTTTGCAGGTGAATCCCCGGGAGGCTGGGCTGATGAGAGCCGGCTTGCCCGGAGGAAGGGGCAGGGGAGGTCAGCCTGCCTGGCACACACCCAGCACCGGGGGTGAATCACACGGGTGAGACGGGTATTGGGGAGGTGGGGACACAGACACCCTGATGGAACCAGTCCGCCAGCAGCGCCCCGCCCCCGGCTGCGTCACAGCCCAGCATGGGTGGCAGGTGCTGACGTCTGACCGAGACTGGCCCGGGGCCAGGCGGTGACTCACGGTGGCACAGCTCGGGGTGGAACCCGTGGCTGCCGGCTCACGTCACCGCACGCCGCAGGCTGGACCGGAGCCAGCGGCACAGGCAGGAGGGGCTAGAAATAGAAAGAGGAAGAGACTGTGGGTGCCGGGAATGGGGCCGCGCTGCAGCTGGGGCCTGCCCGGACGGGGTCAGAGACACAGCAGGCCCCAGGCCACCCTCCCCTGACTGAGACTGCAGGGAGTAAAACAGAGAGTTACCGCCCGGGCACAGTGCTTCAGCCCAGCTGGAGTCCCCACGACCCAGAGGGGCCCCGTCACCCCCAAGGCCAGAGAGAAATCCAGGCACTTCACCCCACCCCCCGACTTCCCACGGAGAAAGGGAGACACCACCCAAAGACCTGGGCTGGGGTCCCGCGCGGCCGGCTTGGAAGGATGGGCATGGGCTCGGGGAGATCCATACTCAGTTCCCAGCTCTGCCAGACTCTGGGTGTTGTCCAGCAAGTCACTGGCAATCTGTGCCTCAGTTTCCGCCCCACCCCCCAATCTACAATATGGGGATAATAATCCTCTACCCAGAGCGTGAGCTCTGTGGGGCAGGGACCATCTCTCACTAAGAGAGCTCTAAGGCGTTGGGGGGGGGGGGGGGGGAGTTGCAGCACCCAGAACCCAAGGGATCCCTAGCACTGGGACAGAGAAGCAAAATCCACAGTGGGGAACAAGCTTATAACCTTCACTGGAATGCAGGATTCTTCACTTCCTGTCTTAAACAGGGGTGTGGCTTGTACACAGCTGCTGCCCACCCCCCCCCCCCCATGTGATGGCTGCATTTCAGTGCTGGGTGAGGACTCCCTGTACAAACAGCCCTGCAGCTGCTGCACCCTGCCCCAGCGGTGGCTGCATTTCAGTGCTGGGTGAGGACTCCCTGTACAAACAGCCCCTGCATTCCACCCCAGAGGCAGCTGCAGCTTGGCCAAGGTCCTCTAACCATTGCCATTATATAAATAAATGCTAAACTTTCTAGAGCTGTTCAACAACCCCTCACTGGTCCTCAGCCCCGCCAGCAAGCACCCGTTCATAAAGCTCCTTCCTCGACGAGGGCAGCGTGAACCCCAGCTCCGTTTGGGACGGATTCGGACAGGCAGCTGCACTGCGGTGTTCACTCTAGTGCTGTTTGAGTATGACCCTCCTCCCCCTCCCATCCTGACCTGTTGAGCAGCGCTGCTGGGCACCGCCCCAGAAGTGGCTGCATCTCAGGGGCAGGTGAGATTTAGATTGTGGGGTCCTTAGAGGCGAAATACACAAACAGACCCGACAAGCTTCCAGCCTGAATACGGAAACTCCATTAAATGTCTCACTCCCCCAGAGCCTGTGACCCGGGACACTGGATTTGTGTTACAAACCCTGTAAAAGCCACGGCCCTTGCTCGGAGATCTCGGGGAGGAGGAGAGCACAAAGGGGGTTATAAATACACAGCCCTGGCCGTAGGGGCCAGCCAAACTGAGCTACAACCAGGCTGATTTCAGCAAGCACTATTAGGGAAACTGAGGCACGGGGCAGGGATGTGCCCAAGCTCATATGGCAGAGCCAGGAAAAGAACCCCGGCGTCCTGCCTCCCAGCTTGGTGCCTGGGCCAAGCTGCCTCTGGTTCTACTCCAGACACTGCATCAAATCAGCAGTGGGAGTCGCATCTCGGCTCCAGTCGCACTCGAAGCTGCCCTGCCTCCGGCTTGGAGCAGGGGAGTGGGACAACCCGAGTCCTGGTTTTCACCCCGTGGGTCCCGCCCACTCCACTCACACCAGGTGAGCACCCGGGGGCTGCTCCCCCCCACCCCGGGACAGCACGCCCAGAAATCCGGGAGCTCTGGGGCAGAGGGGCTGGGGACAAGCAGCCGACTGAGGCTATCCTCCATCCCCACCCCTGCACACACAACCCGGCGCTCCTGCCCACAGCCCCCCTCGGAAATCGGCCACCTTTCCCCTCCCAGCCCCGGGGGGAGCCGCTCACCCCTTTGCTCCATAGCCACCTTCGCATTTCCACGAGCACCCAGCACCACCCCAAACCAGGCCTGCGTTTATCGCCCCGGGGACAAGCGCCCGAGGGGCCTGGCAGCTGTGCCAGCCCTGGCCCTTTCTGGCCCGAGAGCGGGCGGGTTTCTAACCGAGCGGCACGAGGAACCACGCAGGAGGGCAGGCACCAGGATGTCTGGCCTGGGACCCTGCGCTCCCCGGGGTGTCGCCAGCCTGCTCAGGCGGCAAAGGGCCAGGATCTCGAGGCAGCTGATTTCAAACTCGTCAACGTTGCTGCTCAGCCCTTCGGCGCTGGAACGAGAGGGGCACGGGGACTGCCTGCCCGGAGCGGAGACCCAGCTCCGCGCCTCCCTGTGCTTCCGGGGACAGTGCACCAACCCCGCAGCAGCCCCCGAGGGATACCCCACCCCCTGCATGAGGTCTCCCCAAGGGCGTGTCTCCACCGCCCACTAAGCTGGAGGACCCAGGCTCAGGGACGCCGATTCCACACTGCAGCGCAAGCCTGGGTTTACAATGGCTGGACCCGGGCGTCACAGCCGTGCTGACGCTCCACTCTGCACCGATCTTCTGCCTCGGATCTGCACCTCGCCCTGCGTCCACACTGCGAAACGACAGGGCTTGGACCGGAGTCACAGCAGGACTTGGGCTGAGACCCCCCCGCAGCAGGGTCCCAGGACCCAGGTCTGGTGCCTGACCAGAGTCAGACTGAGGTGTGCTGGGCCCAATGCCGAGAGTCAGACCCCAGGCTTAGGCTGTAGTGTAGACAACAGTCAGAGCTTGGCTTCGGCTCTGAAGAAAGAAGTCATCCATCCCTTCCTAGATGGCTGCTAGCACTAACTGTGGCTGTCGTTGTTAACCACGTAAAACATCCAATCCCTCGGACCCTTGCTAAATTCTCAGCCCCGAGGCCATCCAGTGGACATGGGTTCCGCAGGCTAACGCAATGGTCAGACAAAGCCTTTCCTTTGAGCAGTTTGAAGAAGATGCCTTTTCATTTCACCAACGTCCCCTTGATCTGGTGCTGCAAGACAGAGTCCCCACAGCCAAACGCTTTTCAGCTCAGACATCCGCTAACAGACCTGGGTGACGCTTTCTGGCCCTGATCTTTTACACCAAGAACACATGAGCTTAAGCCACCCCACTGGCCCCAGCAGTAACTGCATTACGAGGACACAGCAGCGTCTTAGACAGGCAGGATGGAGCCGGCCCCAGCTCTGCCAATTCCGCTAGCGGGAAAGGTGCTGGGTCCGGCACCCACCTGGCTATTTCACATCAGCAATCCTGTCTTGAATGCAGGCACGGGCAGGTCAGAAGAGCTGGGAATCAAGGCCATGCGGCCCTGCAGGTCCAGCTGCATGCAAGTAACTGGCTCCACATGGCTTTCCGGACACAGCTCTGTAATAGCACACAGGCAGACCCCATCTCTAAGTGTCCCTGGGCAGACCTGGGCTGGAGCACAGCCCAGAGACATGGCTAGGACCGGTCTACACTCAAAATCGCAACCGGGGGACTGGAAATGGGTCCTTTGCCAAGGTGGCTGCATTGGCCTGTGTTTCTACAGCATGTGAACAACAAACCCCCAGCTTAGCAACTCTCAGTGGCATGTCGCAAAGCGCTTCACGAACAAGGTCGGAATTATTAGCCCCATTTTACATATGGGGAAACTGAGGCACAGAGACAGGACCTGACTTGCCCATTGTTATGCAGCAGGCCAATGGCAGAGCTGGGAACAGAACCCAGAACTCCTGCATCCTGGTCCAGTGCTCTAGCCACGAGGTCACACTGCCACCCCATTCAGCACCTTCCACACTGCATTCCCACGTGTACAACACTGACCAAATAAATTGGCCTTTCCATTAGTAGCTCAGGGATGCTGGACACACAATTGGGCCCTAATACAAAGCAGTATTAGGAGCGGATTCCTTCCACGCAGCTGCATGTACAGGCTCACAAGGCCTTAATTCCCAGGTCTGCCTGGGCCTTTCCCCAACAGAGGATTGCTGGCGTGAAATAGCCACGCAGGTGCCAGACCCAACACCTTCCTGGGAGCGGAATTTGCAAAGCTGGGTGCTGGAGATGCTGCTGTGTCCTCATTCCCTGGAGTTACTACTGGGGACAACAAGCGTGGGGGTGAAAGCTTGCAGCCTCGTGGCACGCAATCCCCCAGAGAGACGCAGCCGGAGCTGCTAGCAGACGTCAGCGCAAGACAGAGAGTCTTATGTCCGTGGGGTCTCTCACTGCAGGAGCCCCAGAGGGCATCCACTTCTACAACAATGGGACTCTGTTGAGCACTTTCAGACCCTCTGAGATTCAATGAGGAGCAAATTTCAAACCCACCCCCAGAAAAATCCCACAGGAGCGTCTGATTCTCAATACACACAAAGCAAAGCCATGCTGCGGGTGCCCTCACCCAGTTCTGAGAGTTTATTCCCAGACAATTTCCCCCGGGGCAAGGGGAAACATTTGGAGTGATTTTCCCCACTGGGGTGAAGGGGATCAGACTTTCCACCAAGGTGGGGGAGAAGAACCAGATTTCACACCACACCAGCCCCAAATGGAACCACATTTGAAAAAGACAAACAGACTTTTGTTGCCGAAATGAGAAGGGGACGGGAAGCCCTGGAAGTTGGTTGAGGAGTTGCTAGTGCAGACACACAGGCAACCCCCCTCCCCCCCCAGCTGCCTACAGTTTCTCCTGAAGGGCCTAGAACAGCCCTTGGGGGGCGGGACAGAGTCGGATGGGGAGAGAATTCAGACAAAGGCAAAGCATGTGTTTTGGGCTAGGCAGCCTGCCGTTCACAGGCCCAGGAAGACAACCTGATGCCACACTAGAGACAGGGAGTGGCCAGTCCACAGCAGGGCAGATGAGGCCAGGACATGGGGCTTCTCCCAGGGACCTGGCCGGTGCCGATCTGAAGGTGCTAGCGTTGGGATGGCAAAGGGCTTGGGATGTTTCAAGCCGGACGGGACCGAGCCCCTGGGGAACGGGACCGAGCCCCTGGGGAACGGGACCGAGCCCCTGGGGAACGGGACCGAGCCCCTGGGGAACGGGACCGAGCCCCTGGGGAACGGGACCGAGCCAGCAATACTGGCCGGGTTAAAGGACTGGATCCCAGGGTGTGGGCCCGTCCCATCTCAGCAGCTGAGACTTCGCCTGGTTCTTAGGGCAGCAATCGTCCATGTCACAAACCCCAGCAGCGACCAGCCCCTGGAGTCCCCGTTCCTCCCCCGCCCCCGACCGATTGGGGTCTCTGTCGGACCAGGCGCTGCACACAGGCATGCACAATCCTTGATCACAATTAGGGGCCTGGGATGGGTGCTGCACAGACACCCCCGACATGGGGGTCCCTGTGGTTCTGGGTGCCACATGGGGCCCCCGTCATGCCAGATGCCGCACAGGTGTGCCCCCAACCATGATCCAGACCCCCTCATGCCTGGCACCACACAGATCCTCCCCCTCCAGCTAGCAGGGGCTGCACGGACACAGAGCGACAGCTAAATAGAGAAGACAGAGGAAGGATCAGACCCTGCTTTAGATCTGGGGAAACTGAGGCCCAGAGAGACGCAGTGACTTGCCCAAGAAGTCCATGGCAGAGCCGGCAGTGGAACCTGGGTCCCAATCCTGTGCCAATCCCTCTCTCTGGGGCAGGCTCAGCAGAGGGACCGAGTGGCAGGGCGAGCGTAGGGGCTCCCTGCAGATGCCCTCCCGGCGAGGATCTACCTATGCAGCAGCTTTCGCCAGCCCCAACTGCCCTCTGCCCCGGCCCCCGCCCTGCCCTGCCCCCAAGCCCCCAGCGGGCGACACTCACCCACTTGCAGCACCCGGTCGACAGCCCCAGATTGCAGCAGGTGCAGGCCGCGGTTGAAGGGCACCCGGGAGTCGCGCTCGCCTTCAGGGGGGTGGCCGCCGAGGGACGAGTACATGCAGATCTCGCGCTCGCTGCGTGGGAAGGACCAGAACACGATGCGCTTCTGCACAGGCTCCGGGACGCGGGAGAATCGCTCCTCCACCTGCAGCACACGGGGGCAGGGGAGGAAGGGACACGGCATCCGTCACCCACCTGGGCTCAGCCAGCGACTCGAGCTCGTCCTCACCTGGGCGGACAAGGGCCGGTGGAAACTTATAGGCCAACATCTTCCAAGTGCCATCGGAGTAGCAGGGATGCTCCAGTCACTGGGCCATCCCTGGCCGCTGGCTAGGATGAGCCTGCACCTGGGAGCCAAGGCTGAGGAGACGCCCCCCGCCCCCGGAAGCCGGTTTGGTGGAGCAGGGAGGCAGATCAGCCGCTGTTTCTAGACACACACACACCCCCGAGCACAGACCCCTCCAGAGCGAGGGGCATGTGCGGGATCTCTGAAGCGTTCTCCCCTAAGCATGGCAGGAGGGAAGCGGGATCTAGTGGCTAGAGCAGGGGAAGACTCATAGATCCTGTGTAATGCTCTCCAGCACTGGCTAAAACAGCCACCGGGGCTCTGCTGGCTTGGAAGACTCAAAGGGGAACGGAGCCCAGGCGTGTGGGGAGCAAGGACCATGACAAGAACCCAGGCCCCAGAGAGACACCAGGCGAGGGAATAAAACGGCAATGAACCATCAGTTTCCCCTCGGTGAGATTTTCAAACCTGACCATTGTTCTCATAGCCGGGCTAACGCCAGTGCCCCACCGCACCCGGCGCTGCACAGCCCCAGGCCGAAGGCCTGCCCCACACCATGGAACAGAGACACAAGGGAAGGATCATGCCCGCCCCCCCCCCCCACTTCACAGAGGAGGAAAACAGAACCGCAGAGAGGGGCAGCAACTTGCCTGAGGTCACACGGGGGAGGCTGGGTCCAGCACGTTCGCAAGCCCCTAGACTCAACACCCTGCCCCTGTGATGAGCTCATTTCTCATGGTGGGCCTGTTGCCTTCATCAGGCAAAGCTCCTGGGAGATCCCCCCAGAGAGGGGTGCAGGATCAGGGCTCCTTGCGACCAGCCCTCCGTCCGTTAACTGGAAGGCAGGGCTACTGCATTACACTAAAGCCCCATAGTGTGTTATTTTCAAGGACACCCACGGTCTATTCCCCCCCTACCAAGGAAATGTCAGGGGGTCAGAAACTAATGACAGACAATGTTCTAAAAGGGCAGATTTAGGTCTCCATGACGCAGGGGCTCAGAGCAAAGAGAAAAAGAAAAAAGCCACTGTCAGTTTCACCACAGAAAAAAACAGGCCGCCCTGGTTTGCATGTTTTCCTCTGTCAACCCCCTCAAAGCGGAGGATCAGTGACTGGGGGGGGGGGGGGGCAGCGGGGGGCTGGATTCAGCTGAGCAGCCCTGCAAACAAGGAGCCAGCCAGTGTTAAGAAGCAGAGACTTGAACAAGAAAGTGCTTGCAACTTAAAAATAAACCACTTTACAGAACTGGGGAGCTGCCTGGCCAACAGACAAGAGCCCCGACAGATTCATTAGACACCAGCACGGATACGCGAGGTGTGAAATATACCCTGGAGAAGGGGGGGGGGGGGAAAGAGAGTCTATTGTACATGAGGGCCTAGCAATCTTTACTGTATTTATCCTCACACCTCCCCTGTGAGACAGGGCAGAGCTATCACCCCCAAGGGACAGAGGGGAAACTGAGGCATGGAGCAACAATGGGACTTGCTCCCGGCAATGGGCGTCTGTGGCAGAACAAGGAATTGACCCCAGCTCTCAGCTCGTGCACGAACCACCTTCCTCTCCCTCAGCATGCAGACCCCAAGCTGGGTGGGCCCCCATGGTCCGGGGCTAGGAGGAACGGGGCAAGAGGCGCATTTAGGATCTCGCAGTCAGGTGTGGATTCTTCATTTGCAGCTGGACCCTTGGAGTCAAAAAAATGACTAGGGCACCGTCTGCCACTAGAGGATTGCTCCTGTCCAGGGATGTCCCAGTGCTGATATTCTCTGACACCAGGATCTCTCTCTACCTCCGCAACCAGCCAGGGGCCACCCCCAGCCCCGCATCCAGCAATGGGGAAGGGCACGACATGACAGCTAGGTCAAGAACGGATGACCTAAGGGTCAGAGGGACCAATTCTCAGCAGGGCAAAATCTCACACCCTTGTGGGTCTTTACACCCGGCCCTCAGCTCAGCCCATCTCGTGCAGAAGAGTAAAACCAAGAACACAGCTGAGGGCTGAGCAGCCTGCATTTTTAACTGGTCCTATCAGCCCCCTGCCAAATGCGTCTCTGGGGCTGATCCCTGGATGGAAGGAAGCTGCCCTTTCTAAAGCCACCTCTCTCACCTGTTCCAGAGCACAAAGGCTCAGCATGCCCTGGTGGTGGGGGCTAGCGGGGAAGGGTTCATTCCTCTCGGGGAGGGGTGTCATGACAGGAGACTCCCGTCTGACAAGTTTCCCAGCCTGACTTGAAACCAAATCCCTTCCCTGGGAGAGGATCGTCCCAGCAGCCTGGATTCTCGGGGGACAGGGGGGTTTAAATACTGGTTTGGAGGGTGGGGGGAGTCAGCCCCACGTACAGATAAGCAGGGAGATGGGGAGACAAGTCTGCTCCCCACCCTGCTGCACAGCTGTTTGTCAAGGCTCCCTCCGGGGGTCACGTCTCCGGGGTTTTGCCCAGACTAGTTTTTGAAGTCCCAAGCAATGAGGAGGGTGCCCGCCAGCTCTCAGCTCTGGCTCTCAGCACAGATTTCCCTGGTACCCAGCTTGAAGGCAGGAATCTAGGGCGGGCAGGGGCCTTCTGGCTCATTGCCTCCAGTCCCGGAGACAACCCCTGAAATTCCCCTTTGCTCAGCTTCCATCCTCCCCAATAACTGAACACCCCCTCTCCACCAGTGCTCCCCGCTGGGGCAGCCAAGCTGGGGAACCCGGAGGAGGGGGCTGAGCCGGGATTGCCCGTCACCCCAAAAGGAGGTCAAAGAGCCACCCAGCAATTTACAGAGGGCTGGTCTGGCCCGGGCGTGAGTAACCACTTCCTCTGACCCCAGCCAGTGTCACCCTGCCCGCAGGCAGGCACCTGCCACGGGGCAGGGGAGGAGGAGTGGGCGGCAAGAGGCCGCTCAGCCGGTGGGGTGCGAGGCCTGATCCTGGCTCAGAGGCCGTGGGGGGCGAGAAGGTCAGAAGGTGGGTTGCCGACACCTGCTGTAGGGGCGGTGGGGGGGTTCTCAAAAGGGACCGGGGGCTGGGGAAGAGGATGAGGTGGGGCCACCCCAAGGGAAGAGATTGGGGGAAATGCCCCAGTGGGGTTATAGGGGCAGCCCTCAGAACCCGGGGGGGGGGAGCTGAAGGCAGAAGTGTGGGTGGGTGATGGGGGGATAAGGGATAGAAAAATGGGCAGACACGAGGGTACCGCCAGGAGGGCTGACACGGGGGGGACACCCCCGGGGCTCCCCCCCAGGAGGGCTGACACGGGCGGGGACACCCCCGGGGCTCCCCCCCAGGAGGGCCGGGGATCCCCGCCGGGGCCGGCCCCCCTCACCTGCTCGAAGGCCCACGTCTCCGCCACCCGCTTGGCGCTGAGATCCAGCAGCGTCTCGGGCCGGCCGCCGCCGCCGCCCTCCGCGGCGGCCCCGAGTCCGGGCCTCTCGGGCCGCCCCCCGCCCCCGGGGGGGCCGCAGCGCCGCTTGGCGGCCGGGTGCTCCATGGGCTCGGGCGGGCTCGGGCTCCCCGCGGCCCAGCGCTCGGGCTCGATCCCCGGGCTCGCCCGGGCGGCTCGCCGGGGCCCCGCCCGCCGGGTCCGGAGCTCGGCGGGTCCCGCCCTGGGGGGCCGGGGGGGGGGGTCTCCTCGGGCCCGGGCCGCTCTCGCTGCGCAGATCCCCCGCCGCTGCCTCCGGGCCGGCCCCGCGATGCGGCCCCTTTAAGACGCTCCACAACAATGAGCTCGACGGCTGCTTGATCCCCGGCTTCCCCGCCCCCTGCCCGACTCCCATTGGCCGCCGGGAGGCAGCCCCCTCTTGCCAATGGCTGACCTCTCTGTCAATCAGTGGCTGGGCCCCCTCCCCCACGTGGGAAGTCTGGGGAGAGCCGTCAATCAGGGCGAGTGGTGCACCAATCAGGGAGCGCGGGACCGGGAGGCTGTGCCCACATATGGGGAAGGTGGGTGTGGCCGCTGAGCTTTCATTCACAACATTCGAAAGAGGCTGGAAATGGCAACAATATAGCAACCGGGAGGTTGTGGTGGGTTCCGGCCTAGGACGCAGGCTCCTCCCCCTCCCCGCCCAGGTCCCCCCCGCGGCTCCTCCCCCTTCATCTCTCAGTCCCTTCCAGGGACCCCCCCAGCTCTCCTCCCCCCCTGCGTCTTCCAACCAGGGACCCCCACCTCTCCTCCCTCCCCCCCCGCGTCTCCCAGCCAGGGACCCCCACCCCCAGCGCGCCCCCCCTGCGTCTTCCAACCAGGGACCCCCACCCCCAGCTCTTCCCCCTTCATCTCTCAGTCCTTTCGAGGGACCCCCACCCCCAGCTCTCCTTCCCCCCCGCGTCTCCCAGCCCAGGGACCCCCACCCCCAGCTCTCCTCCCCCCCCGCGTCTCCCAGCCAGGGACCCCCACCCCCAGCTCGCCCCCCCTGCGTCTTCCAACCAGGGACCCCCACCCCCAGCTCTTCCCCCTTCATCTCTCAGTCCTTTCGAGGGACCCCCACCCCCAGCTCTCCTTCCCCCCCCCGCGTCTCCCAGCCCAGGGACCCCCACCCCCAGCTCTCCTCCCCCCCCCGCGTCTCCCAGCCAGGGACCCCCACCCCCAGCTCGCCCCCTGCGTCTTCCAACCAGGGACCCCCCCCCAGCTCTTCCCCCTTCATCTCAGTCCTTTCGAGGGACCCCCACCCCCAGCTCTCCTCCCCCCGCTCTCCCAGCCAGGGACCCCCACCCCCAGCTCCCCTGCTCTTCCAACCAGGGACCCCCACCCCCAGCTCTTCCCCCTTCATCTCTCAGTCCTTTCAGACCCCCACCCCCAGCCCCCCCCCCCTCTCCCACCAGACCCCCACCCCAGTTCCTCCCCCCCCGCCTCCACCCAGGACCCCCACCCCAGCTCTCCTCCCCCCCGCGTCTCCCAGCCCAGGGACCCCCACCCCCAGCTCTCCTCCCCCCGCGTCTCCCAGCCAGGGACCCCCACCCCCAGCTCGCCCCCTGCGTCTTCCAACCAGGGACCCCCACCCCCAGCTCTTCCCCCTTCATTCTCAGTCCTTCGAGGACCCCCACCCCCAGCTCTCCTTCCCCCCGCGTCTCCCAGCCCAGGGACCCCCACCCCCAGCTCTCCTCCCCCCCCGTCTCCCAGCCAGGGACCCCCACCCCCAGCTCGCCCCCTTCTTCCAACCAGGGACCCCCACCCCCAGCTCTTCCCCCTTCATCTCTCAGTCCTTCAGGACCCCCACCCCCAGCTCCCCCCCCCCGCGCTCCCAGCCAGGGACCCCACCCCCAGCTCGCCCCCCCTGCGTCTTCCAACCAGGGACCCCCACCCCCAGCTCTTCCCCCTTCATCTCTCAGTCCTTTCGAGGGACCCCCACCCCCAGCTCTCCTCCCCCCCCGCGTCTCCCAGCCCAGGGACCCCCACCCCCAGCTCTCCTCCCCCCCCCGCGTCTCCCAGCCCAGGGACCCCCACCCCCAGCTCCTCCCCCCCCCCCGCGTCTCCCAGCCCAGGGACCCCCACCCCCAGATCTCCCCTCCCCCCCCCCGCACCCCCACCCCCGCTCCCCGCGTCTTCCAACCAGGGACCCCTACCCCCAGCTCTTCTCCCTTCGTCTCTCAGTCTCTTAGAGGGACCCCTACCCCAGTTCTGCCCCGCCCCGTGTCTCCCAGCCCAGGGACCCCCCCAGCTCTTCCCCCCCCCTGTGTCTCCCAGCCAGGGACCCCCAGCTCATCCCCCCCCCACGTCTCCCAGCCCAGGGACCCCTCAGCTCCAACTCCTGCATGTCCCATACCATCGACATCCCCCTGGCTCTTCCTCCTCCCCCTTCCTCTTCCAGACTAAGGGATCCCTCGGCCCAGAAATCCTCCTTTTGCTGCAGTTCCCACTTCCAGCTCCAACACCTCCCCTATTCCTCCTGCTGCAAGCAGATCACCCACTCCATGGGCAGGTTCCACCCAGGACTATGTACCCACCCCAGGGTTGCATGTTCCCATCTGTCTCCCATCCCATGCAAACCAGCGTGATGTATGCAAATCTCCTTCCCCTGTGGAAGGACCCAAAAGGCTGCTGTTTATAAAGGGCTCCAGTTAATTTTATAAAAAGAAAAGGAGTACTTGTGGCACCTTAGAGACTAACCAATTTATTTGAGCATGAGCTTTCGTGAGCTACAGCTCACTTCATCAGATGCATACCGTGGAAACTGCAGCAGACTTTATATATACACAGAGAATATGAAACAATACCTCCTCCCACCCCACTGTCCTGCTGGTAATAGCTTATAATTTTATGGGACTTGGCGGGGGGGAGGGATGGATAATATCCAGAGCCCATGAAGGCAAAAGAGGGAGGGATGCTAATCAATGAGGCAGGACAGCATCCCTAAGAGCAGAGGTTTGCCCAAGTGTCCCTCCCTTTCTCTGTTACTATCCGCTGTCACCCCCCCTCCCCAGAGGTGGCTGCATTTCAGTAGCCCTGAGCATACAGCATTTGAAGTGCCTTTGGGGGGCCTCGGCTCATCCAGCCTTATCAATCATCACTGCACAGGCCACCAGAGAGGCTGGCTGCACGCTGGACTTACCCATCCCCCTGCACAGTGTTTGGACTCGGGGAGAGTTCCTGCACCCAGATCATCGATTAATTCTTTACCGCCAGGGTGCGACTCCAGGGTCACACCAGAAGTAGCTGGGAGATCAAAGCTTCCCAGGCCTCCCTCAGCCTGCTCGGCTGCCCCCCCCCTCGCCCCCGCCCCTGTCTCCCCCGGCTCTCCAGCTGTTCCGTCTGCTCTCGGCTACCACCGGCTTCATCCTCTGCCGGAATCGACTCGGGCATTGAGGGGTTAAAGCGGAGTGATCCTTCAGGGCCACCCTAGCAAACCACTGGAAGGAAGGCAGCACGCCACCCACAAGACATCTGAGCTCTGCCTCTTCCTGGAGAGAGGGCACAAATGGCCAGTTCCACACCACGCTCATTGGTGGGGGTAACAACTGGGGGTTCCGTTGGGTACAGGTGTTGGTTATCCCACCCTTTCCATACCTTACCAGGGGGAGGTATGGAAAGTTAGAAGATAGGGATCACTGATATAATAATAACTGGCTTCTCCTCAGATCTTCCTGCTTTGTAGAGAAGGCCAATATCATTATCGCCTTTTGTAGACGGGGAAACTGAGGCACAGAGGAGGTGTGATTTACTCAAGGTCATGAGTCAGAGCTAAGAATAGAACCCAAGTCTCCTGGCCCCCTGCTCTGGCTTCCTTCACTTGTGTGGTGCTCCTGAATGAACAGGACAAGTGGTGGGTGTGGACCTCCGTCAGCCTATGTGATGGCTTCAGTTCATTACTTAATGATGATTAATGATTGCTCGCAGGAGAGTAGCCAACTGCAATACAGTTCTGCATTGTATTAAACATCTCATTTTGCATTTTCTAAGACCCAGTCAGAAGCCAGATAATCAGGAACCCTGTTCAAAGGAGTTCTTGCTAAAACTTGTTTCAAATCCCAGCGCTTGTTGGGTCTGAGCCTGTTAAGAAACCACAGTGCAGCCTAGATTCAAGGTAGGAGTTCGAAGCATCGGTGCCTTTCTTGGACAAGCAGGTACTTGCGTAAAGGGAACAATGGCTATGATGTGATTGTCCCACTGACTCCTCTCTTCCCCCCTTCCCCCCAAAAAATGATTAAAAGGCAACTTGGTTTCTCTTCAGAGCCATGTGGTCTAGCGGATAAAGAACTGGACAGGGACTTGGGAGACCAGCGTTTTATTCCTAGCCCTGCTACTGGGTGATGTTGGGCAAGTCACTTTGCCTTTCTGTGCCTCAGTTTCCCCCTCTGTAAAATGGAGATAATGATACCGACCTCCTTTGTAAAGTGCTTTGAGAGCCGCTGATGAAAAGCAGTAGATCGGAACTAGGGATTGTTATTAATTTATTGCAGTGCAGATGCAGCTAAGGTGTGTGCTCCGGAATGAGTTGGAAACCCAGGCCTGATGCAGAGGTGAGGAGTAGCTGTTGCACGTTCTCTCCCATTCTACGAGCCAGGGGTGTGCTCCTGCAGTGACGCAGCTGGCAATCTCTGCCGGGATGCCAAGAAGGGATCCAGGCACCCTTCATTCCAATGGCAGCTCTCCCCAAAGTGCAATAATGAGAGTACCTTGGTGTGTCCCCAGCTCTCTTGGGGAATCTCATTATGAATGGAGCCTCACCGCCCACCGCTTTGCAGGATTGTAACATTAGCCCCATTTTACAGGAAGGGAAAGTGAGGCACGAGGGAAAGTGACTTGCTCAAGGTCACCCAGCAAGTCAGTGGCAGTGCTGGGAATAGAACCCAGGAGTCCTGGTCTCCCCATCCCCATTAACCACTAGAGCAGAGACCTTCTAGAGCCGGGAGCAGACTCCAGAATGCCTGGTTCTCATCCTTTTGCTTTGACCACTCGACCATTCTTCAAGCAGGGGGCAGGGAAGCAGATAAGGTTGCAGTGAAGGGGCAGGGGCCTGGGAGAGGAGAGATGCCCCGCTGCAGACAGATTGTCTCCAGGGCTGGAAGGCCGGAGTCTCTCACCAACATGAAACATCTTGCACACAAATGTCTCCTTGAGCAGCCCTTTTTGCATTTGAGGTGTCCAGCAATCCTGGTCACACCCGCACCCCCTCCAACCCCCACTTCCTTCCCTGTTCAGCATCTGGGGAGCTGGGGTTCCAGCCTGCTAAGTGCTCTGACCTCAACCAAATCCACCAACCCCCTTGCTGCTGCTGGGGGCAGGGGCTCCTAGG